ATGGATATACAACTTCTTTAATATAATATGAGCTACGTTTCGGTGTAGCTACTAACACCGTTATCAAGCAAATGATGTAATCATTGTTTGTTGTTGATAACAACTCTTACACAACTGTCAGGTAAACCAGTGGTTGATAGTATGAGTACCAACCCACACTGTTGGGTTGTCTGGCCAGCCAGTTCACACATCTATAAAAGCCTGGTCATTCATAAGGTCAACTCTTACACAACTGTCAGGTGAACCAGTGGTTGATAGTATGAGTACCAACCCACACTGTTGGGTTGTCTGACCAGCCAGTTCACACATCGTAAAAGCCTGGTCATTCATAAGGTCAACTCTTACACAACTGTCAGGTAAACCAGTGGTTGATAGTATGAGTACCAACCCACACTGTTGGGTTGTCTGACCAGCCAGTTCACACATCGTAAAAGCCTGGTCATTCATAAGGTCAACTTTTGCATAACTCTCAGGTAAACCAGTGGTTGATAGTATGAGTACCAACCCACACTGTTGGGTTGTCTGACCAGCCAGTTCACACATTGTAAAAGCCTGGTCATTCATAAGGTCAACTTTTGCATAACTCTCAGGTAAACCAGTGGTTGATAGTATGAGTACCAACCCACACTGTTGGGTTGTCTGACCAGCCAGTTCACACATCATAAAAGCCTGGTCATTTATAAGGTCAACTCTTACATAACTGTCAGGTAAACCAGTGGCTGATAGTATGAGCGACAATCCACAATGTTGGGTTGAACAATGAGCCACTTCACAAATCATAGCTATCCTTTCCTCAGCACAGACAGCTCTTTCAACCATTATGAGGCACTGGGAACTTTTCTGGCCTGGTATCTGCATGCAGGCTTTAATTAGGACACTGGTTACATTTGATGCAAACAAATTATACAAATCATTATCGCATGAGGAATGACAACAGCACAAATGTACCTTTAAATGCAAACACAATAATGGCACAATCAGCTTAAGCAGCCAGGCTGGAGCCCAAGAGAGGTATATAGGTTCATACCATATCAGAGAAATATTTATGACCAATGAAAAGATCTACAACTGTGGTGCCATGAAAGACAATTACCATTTGTTGCGTGCTATATCCCCCATATACACCACAATACATAGATGGCCCCATACTACTTATGGGCCTGAGATGAGACACATAGACCTTAATTCACTTTCTGCTTCTATGTTCTTGAACTGGGTCAGCTCAGCTCCCTGGGGAGACCTCTGTATGTAGCATGTAGGTTCAAGTTGCAGATGAAACTGCCAAGAGATGTGCCATCATATTCATAACCCAATTGGCATCACTCCTCAGTGTCATAAAGCCATTATTTACTGTGAACGTTCTCCGATATATTGGGCAACTGTTTGCAAGGAGTCAAATCCCCGACTCTTGTGCAAACAATCTCAGTAGATGCTGTAGTGGGCACTGGACTGTCTCCGACTCTGTATTGATCAGATCACATAGGTGGCCAACATCTCGCCAAACAACACTAACATCATGCTTCCTCTTCATCAATTGCACCGACTGCCATGTATTGTGCTACATTAACCCTTGCAGGGCTAAAATAAGTTATGAAGCTGTCACTTCCAATACACCATCCAAATGTTTTCTCCTTGCTGTCAAATTTCTTCTGGACATTTTCACTTTTCTTGAACTATTGCAATTCTTGTAATTTAATTGTAAAATGGCTATCACCAATTCCTTTTCATCAATTCCTCCAAAAAATAATTTCTTTGATTATTGTGAATTCTGAGAGATGTATATTTGCATGTGGTGGAACATGATGCAATGGACAACCTTCTAGCATCTATATTTTTGTTTCACTTAAAATCATGTGTGATCACAACAGGTCCATCCTCCTAATCAACAAGTTGCACAACACACGTCTCACTCAAGGACTATGTAATACATGTACTATTTACCTGGGGCTCCTTTCACGAAGCAACCTTAACTAAGGTTAACCTTAACTCCCATTCTTTAACACTGCACTAAGGTTACCTTAGTGACTTACGATCACCTTAGTGCTTTGTGAAAGGAGGCCCTGATGATGAAGCTTCAATTTAATATATTCCTACAACATGTAACATTCTCTTCAAATATTTGTGCGAAATAAACAGTCAGCAGTGCCAGCCAGTTTATGGTGTGTAACTCAAGAATGTGCAAATGGCCGTGAAGTACATGCATCACCATGTGTTCTAAATAGTAATCGCAAACCTTTTTCCTTACAACTATTTTTGAGTGGTCATGTCAAGATGACATTGTAAGTTATTTAACATGTTTAATTTGCAAGTGGATGGTTAAAACAAAATTGATTATATGACAATTTTAAAAATCCAATTTTGAAGAAAAATGAGGGAAGGATTATTCAAAAACTCATTACAGTAATTATTCAAATTGATTACAAAACAAGTGATTTTTGCAGGATGAGAACCTTCAAATCATCAAGTGTCTTACAATCGGAGAACAATTTTAATTTGCAAACAAAGTCTGTGGGAACCAGTGTTGTTCCTGTAATTATTATGCAATCTTTCAATAATTGTTAATCACCTGTCAAGTGGTATAACTGTTTAATCACAGAAATTGACAACATCCTTGAAGAAAAGGAGTCCCTTGACAGCATTTATTATTACAATTGAATAATGTTTTTAAAAAGAAGACAAAACTTGTGATCCTGAGCTGAATTAAAACAAAGAATCACCATGCTGAGAACAAATCACATTCGGAGGTTTTCCTGGAATTACTTTTTACAACATTCATAAATCAACATTTTGTTTCAGCTGCTTCATAATTTGATCATCTGATATTCAAAGAGGTCAAAGTCATCTCACATCCATCCACAGTTCTGTTTAATCAGTGTAACCACTGAGGACTATGAAGAATCTCTGACAGTTTGTTTTGCAGAGGGTAGGATGTTTTCCAAGATAACAAAGACATATATGAGAAATTTTATATCAGCTAACCGAACAGACAATCCCCAACCCTCACCTCCCTGACCCCCCCAGCAGTGGAGGTGAAACAGACATCAAGTCTCATCTCAATTACCTCCCTTGATACCTGAGTAATGGCAGTTTAAGTAGCAGACGTAACCTTCCCGCCCTTTTTTGATCAGCGCAATGTTTGTGGGGACTTTTCTCCACATGATTCAGGAATGGAGAGCCCTTCAATCTACTAGGATCCATCCCGGAGAGCTGAATCTGTCTGCCAAGTCAATTGCTGTTGAGATATGCATATTTCTCATTTGTTATGACAAGCAGGGTGTCTGACTCAGCCAAATGTTGCACACTATCTCCTCCTCTGATGTTGAAGAGTAAACTCTTCTGTCTGATTGATGTTTTGTATCTTCTGACTCGTTCTGACCCCACATCCAACACAATCACCTTCAATTAACAGAAACAGGAAAACATGCTTCCTCTGCTGACACTTGTTGGGCTTTCATGCAACATGCAAATGAGAGACTCTTCTGCACTTTCCAAATGTCATATCGCCCAATTCAGGCCATCAATGCACCATGCAAATGAGGTGCGAAGTCTGCATACATTGAATGCCATATCTCTTAATGCAAACTGTGTCTTCCCAAGATATTATCTCAGTATAGGTTTACATTTAATAATCAGCTTCGGCACTTGCTGTGGCAGAAAGTGACTAATCTGTTTTCTTTGAAACAAATTTACATTTTCAGACGCACTAACTCATGAGCGTGCTCGATCCCCTGAGATGAGGAAATCAGAAAAATGTGTTATCTGATACAGAAGAAGCTAAGAAAATTCACAAACCTCGTCACTTCTTACATCACAAGTCTCGTAAACCAACAAAGTGGGTGTGATTTAATTGCATGTAAAGCTGGCCTCTATCTATGAAAATGCCACAATCAATAAGCACGCTTTGTTTTCTGAGTCAAATTTTTTATCAGAGCAGATCATTTCCTGAGCGAAAGGAATCCGTATTTTGACCTCAATCGAGGATGATGCGAATACTGTTGAGGATGCCATACATGTACCCAAACCCCTGCACATCACCAGTCTAGCAGGCTGCTTTTTGGAAGTTTTGCAACACATCACGTGTACAATGTCCAACATACGAGCTGTTTAATATTTTTCAAGGGTTCTCAGCTATGATGAATGACACTATTAGATTAATGCAAACTCAGGCAGCCATCTTGAATTGTGTATTCAAGCAAGCTTGCGACTGCCTGCTGCAGGATACGCAACAGTAATATTTTGCCAAATTTAAAACAAAATGGAGAGAAAAAAAAAGATAACCCATAATTAAAATTCGTCCCTAACTGATTTTGATCTTTCACAAGAAGTGACTAAGCATCGTAAGATTTGATCAATGAGAAGATGTCCGCAAGTGGTTGACAGCTGACCAACAAGTTACTCACAGTTAATTTAATGCTTCCCTGATTACATTTTTTGGCTCGTTTTTTAGCAGCCTAATGACTACTGTAATCCTTAATAAAGACGTTTGGCCAGTGCCAGTTACACTGAAGTCTGATTGGCTAGTCATGTGAATGGTACCGTTATTCCACTGTAGCTGGCCTCTGTAACGGGGTACAGTTACGATGACAATTAATCAATGCCATTTCTTGGATGGATTCTAATCTTGACTGAATTTTATCTCACAGTGCTGATGAGTAGCTGTCTGAATGGGTCAGCCCAGAACCTTGAACTAATGGAGGAGTTTGTGGCACCAGTTTCTGTCACACTTGCATGAGCTTGCTTCAAATATGCAAAATCAATCTTCCTAAGAAATATTCAAATCACAAGGTTTCATTTTTCTATTGTTTGAAACTGATTCCAGTCTCTGCCTCAAAATTTCATCCCTGTGCATTATTCAATGACTTTTATTAGTTTTAAATTTCAAGTTTGCATGTTATTATCATATGTGCAATATTTGTGTCAGTTGTAGATTTCTTATGCTTTCTTAAACTTGGTGCTATCTGTGTCGGGTGTATGTATGCTAGGGTACATTCTGGACTTACGAGTTGTGGAGGCTGCAGTCAAAGAACGTGAAGTCTGTTGACACAAAGTCCTGCTGGTTCATTCTCACAGACAAACGCATCACAATGTGATCTGGAATGAAAGAAATATTACATCAATAATATTATAAACTTGATGCTGTCCGTCAATGTGGCAGACTACATATGGCATAATTATCTTTCTTGTCCAAGTTGTCATAATGGCAGCCCTCCAGTCGAGGGGAAAATGACATGTTGTTCGAGTAATGTGATTTTAACAAGTTAATCAGATAAAACAACAGAAATTTCACTTTTGGTGACACTAAATCAAGCTGCAAGTCTTGTTGCGCATTTTGACCAGTTGTTAAAACGAAAAAGCCAAAATTAGGGTCGACATTGCGAGGAGATAACAGACAAAGTTTTTCTACATGACTGAGGGATTATGGGAGGGTGGCAGTTCGTTGTCAATTACGACAAGATTTATTACTCTCGCTTCAATTGCGCCGATAAATATTTCATTTTTGCAGACATCAAAACGAAGGCAACATGGAGTGGGTTGATTTGGTGGTTTATAGGGATTTTTACAACTCTCTGATGGAGGTCGCCATTGTTAAAAATTCATGTGATAAACATGGCTGCTGTCATGTGACTGGCAGATTAATAGGGAGCATGGGGAAAGGGTCCGATGGCATGTCAAATTTCAAACCCTGATCAGAGTCTGCGTCTGTTGGTTGGATGTTTGATGGTATTTAGTTTTCAACAGGAGCAGACAGGACAATACGCTGCCCAACAAGTGATGAGAGAATATTAGAGTGTCACGTTATGCTACGGCATCTCACAATTATATCAGCTTAGAAAGGCTGTCCTATAGGCCCGTCAGAATAAACCTGTGATTGACCGACCTGTGTACACATGTTCTTTTAGGGGCCATAAATGTCAATAACACAAATGGAAATTGGGAAAAGATCGGTTTGCCTGCAATTCTCACGTTTCTACAAACGTTCCTGTCCAGAGTCACATGACTCATGTCATTTCCTTCAAATCATCAGCAAAGGAATTTACATTTATTTGAAGAAAGGCGCTTCTATCATGAGGGCCAGGTTGAGTGACGATCAGCTCGCAGACAGGGGGAAGGAACAAATTAAACTTGTTCTATTTTACGATCAGCCGTGTCATTCCTACTTTTAGCTCATCTATTCAATCTGAGGCTATGCATCCAGCAGGGTGCAAGATGCCAACATTGTTGCCATTCACGACCAGGGATTCTCTGCTGCCAACAAATCGGACGGCCAAATCACCCAAGTCTTTGCCAGCAACCTGTTCAAACCAGGAACAAAGGAAGTCCAGCAGTTGGATTAAGCAACTGGTCTGCAGAGACCATGACCAGCAGACGGCAACGTTTTAAAGACAGACGCCAATATCGAACACAAGCAGACGTGAACATTTGCAAGTAGGAAATGTGCCGTTATTAGACAAAAGAGGGACAGCCATTGTCGTTTGTCTGGTTTTATGCCCAGTCTCTCGGGAATATGCCTGAATTGATGACCTGCTCTGCACAATGGCACATGCAAAGTCATTTTCAAGTTTTGTCCAATGTGATCAGTTACCAGTGTACGGTGGATTGAAGCACTCATTCATACCAAGTTTGCAATAAAATATTCAGAATATTCTGCTTCAATTGAATGAGAAGAATTTGATCCAAAATTTAAAATAAAAAAGTGACTAATGTAAAACAATTAGCTGTGATGTAATGACTGAAGTCCCTGATGCTTGAATCTACTTCCATGGAGCCCCTCAAGTGACAGAATTTCTGTGTTCAAGGAACCTGGATCATCATAGGTTGTTCAATCCGGTGATCACGAGCGTCCAGTGAGCTCGATGGCGTTGAGTGACAGGCGACTGATGGATGGCAAATTGAGCAAGTGTCCGGCTAAGATGTTTGATGGGCCATCACCGTATGTCCAAATTGACCAGTGATCTCCCTGGACACCAACTAGCACCATGGGTAATGTCGCATATAATTCAGGTTGGCTAAATGTCCTCCCAATATGGCTGGTAATTGTTAAATAGCCTTGTCATGAGTGGGATTTCAATTTGACAGTTGAAAATACCCAAACCCTAATTTACATATTGGCTGATTACAAATATGATATGCAAAAATTCTGCATCCAAATTAGCATTTAAAATCCTTTAATGAATGAATATTCCATTAAAATTTCAAGGAAAGATTTGCTAATTAGTTTTGTCCTGTATGATGCTCCTCCCAAACGGAGATGCATGGCAAAGGTGCCGACTGAGTTATAGGAACTAAACATGGAGGCAGCTATCTTCATAGGCATGGTGATGAATGAATAATTATTTTTCTGATTAAAAAGAGAATTTGAAAATTCTCAAGAGATTCTCCATTTTGTAAAGATTTCATCCCTCCTTTGTCAGATCTTATCCTGGGATTTCCTTAAACCACTTATTTCAAAAGATTCAAACATCATCCATTTACAAAAATCTGCATTTGCAAAGATGTTAGATTGAACGTCATTAGATTCTTTATAAACTGAAATTAGATTTAGGGTAAAGTCTGACCGTTGAGTTGTCAGTCAAGAGCTGAGGGTGGGATCAATTCTTCGGAAAAACTTTCGAAAACATTAAAATAATAAAAAAGTAGAAAAACGATGACTGAGTCATGTGCATGTGCTATTAATGCCTGGAGAAGTTAATCATTTGGAAAAGATATGTGTCAGAAAGAGCATGGTCGTCACTTTTCAAACACGAACATAACGACCCGATTCTCCAGAACTAAAAGTGGTCAGACGCATTTGCCAATAAGGCAATTACTGCAGATTCATTTAGAGATCGAGTTCTATATTGACAGGAATTGAGGATCTGCGGTCGTAAAACAGTAGACTCTAAGAGAACATCACAGGACCATCAAGAAACATGGCAAGAAATAACGAGACCATCTCTGTCTATGGTACGACAAAATCCTAATATAGATGTAATGTGTTTGCCTAAGCCAATAGATAGCTCAATTATCGCCCTCGGCACGGAAATGAGGGGGGTTATGGGAGAGGACAAGCGATTACACTAAATATCTACTTGGCCAGACAACAAATTGCAATATGAAGCGCACCATAAGCTTGCCCATGTCGCACGTCAATAGCCCATATTGATTCCAACGACGGTTACTTTAAGCTGGAGTCGGTCTTTGTAATACCCGACGTCGTCGTAGAGCAGACTGATGCAGGTATTGACATCTAGCGGATGTCGAATCGAAGTGATTACTGTTGCAAATTGGCATTAATCAGTAGGAGTGTGATATCGACACGCATACCTGTTCACAAACACATGTATGTTTGTTTGCAATAAACATACCCCAGTGAAACACAGGGACAATAACGATCCATAATTTGCATTACTATCGCGGAATATCACCATAATTCCCTCCCCTGCAGTGTCCATTATTTAAACAGAAATGCATTTCCTTATCCTAAGCCACGCGTGTTTATGTAGAAATAACAGCATTGGTGAAAGCTGCATGATCAATTGCTGACGATAATGTATTGTGTAATAATTCCACATAGTGCCACGTTATTGGTGTGAAACAGTCTTACAGCATCATTCACTGCAGCCTCAAACCAGCATGTAAATCAAGCCTCATTATCGCATTCTGTGCTATTAACTGTTCATAGTTAACTGGACCATGCATCATGGTGTGATGGTGCTCGGCTCATATAGTCTGCTGCCAGAATGTCGTGGTACAGCCAGGTCCATTGTATGACACGCTGATCACAAAAGAGGATTAGATGTACAACATGGCTGAATAAGGCATTGGAAGCAGAACAAGGCCACCAGCACCAGCCTGGAGCCAATCTGCCCCATCTCACACCCAAGGCTGCTATGTTGGGTCTATCTGCCCACAACCTTCACACAGTACTTCTAACCATCTTACACCCATCGCCAAGGCTGCGATCTTGGTTCTATCTGCCCACAACCCTCAAACAGTACTTTTAACCATCTCGCACACATCTCCAAGGCTGCCATCTTGGTTCTATCTGCCCACAACCCTCAAACAGTACTTCTAACCATCTCGCACACATCTCCAAGGCTGCCATCTTGGTTCTATCTGCACACAACCCTCAAACAGTACTTCTAACCATCTCACACCCATCGCCAAGGCAGCCATCTTGGTTCTATCTGCCCACAACCCTCAAGCAGTACTTCTTGTCATCTGGCACCCAAGGCTGCCATCTTGGTTCTATCTGCCCACAACCCTCAAACAGCACTGACCATCTCACACCCATCTACATGGTTGCCATCTTGGTTCTATCTGCCCACAAACCTCAAACAGCACTGACCATCTCACACCCATCTACATGGTTGCCATCTTGGTTCTATCTGCCCACAACCCTCAAACAGTACTTCTTACCATCTCACACCCATCGCCAAGGCTGCCATCTTGGTTCTATCTGCCCACAACCCTCAAACAGTACTTCTAACCATCTCACACCCATCTCCAAGGCTGCCATCTTGGTTCTATCTGCCCACAACCCTCAAACAGTACTTCTGACCATCTCACACCCATCGCCAAGGCTGCCATCTTGGTTCTATCTGCCCACAACCCTCAAGCAGTACTTCTCATCTCACACCTCTCCAAGGCTGCCATCTTGGTTCTATCTGCCCACAACCCTCAAACAGTACTTCTAACCATCTCACACCCATCGCCAAGGCTGCCATCTTGGTTCTATCTGCCCACAACCCTCAAACAGTACTTCTATCCATCTCATACCCTTCTCCATGGCTGCCATCTTGATTCTGTCTGCCCACAACCCTCAAGCAGTACTTCTTGTCATCTCGCACCCATCGCCAAGGCTGCCATCTTGGTTCTATCTGCCCACAACCCTCAAACAGCACTTCTATCCACTCACCCATCTCACATCCCATCTATCTGCCCACAACCCTCAAACAGCCATCTCACACCCAAGGCTGCCATCTTGGTTCTATCTGCCCACAACCCTCAAACAGTACTTCTATCCATCTCATACCCTTCTCCATGGCTGCCATCTTGATTCTGTCTGCCCACAACCCTCAAGCAGTACTTCTTGTCATCTCGCACCCAAGGCTGCCATCTTGGTTCTATCTGCCTACAACCCTCAAACAGCACTTCTAACCATCTCACACCCTAACCATCTCATTCATCTTGGTTCCCCACAACCCTCAAACAGTGCCATCTCATTTTGGTGGCTGCCATATCTATCTGCCCACAACCCTCAAGCAGCACTGACCATCTCACACCCTTCTCCATGGCTGCCATCTTGGTTCTATCTGCCCACAACCCTCAAGCAGTACTTCTGACCATCTCACCCATGAGACTACTGACCAATGTCTCACCCATCTCCAGCTGTGACCACTGGTAGCTGAAGCTACATTCACAGACTCTGTGATTCTCATACAGTTACTGAGATTATAAAGATGTATATATGATGAAAATATGTAAAAAAAATTAGGGGTCATCACTACCAATTTCATCATTATGGTACTTTGACATATCAGAATCCATATTCATGCAGGTCGCCCAGACAACCAAGAGACTGCAGCCTATGATTTTAAGCAGCCCAAATATGTAGCTGTCAGTCCACATAACCAGTCTCAGTCTCGAGCTTGTCCAAACCGTCAGGAGTCTGCCCCTCAATCTGCTCCTACGGGATGTTTCAGCTCTTAGAATGACAGACCAAGCTCTGTGGCTTTTACCATATTTCTGTCACGCGTCATGTTATACAATATGTATAAGCACTGTGTGGTTTTCCATCTGTTCACTGCAACGCCACGATGGAACCGATGCACGATTGTCTGACTTGCTACGTAACACTTTCGCAGGACCATCAGATCACCTGATGTATAATCAAGCCCATGGTATTGATTATTTGTCCAAGATGGCCATTGCATTGTGATGTTTATATCATCTTCCTCATGTTCGACATCCCAATAGATCATGGAGGTTCCTGGCTGACTCTGGTGAAACACGGGGACCTGGCTTAGAGAGCAGTAAACGTGTTTAGTCTGTATAGCCCAGTAAATCTATACATCACTGATGAGGCCAACAGGGTATTGCTATACCTAATCTGATCACGAAGGCAGCAGGCATTTACCCAAAAAGCAGACACAATTTATCATTTCAAAAACCCCATTCAATACTTGTCTACATCATTACCTTAGAAATCACAGTCTTTGCATTCCTTTGTGATAAGACGAAAACACATAACTGAACCAAAATACCATATTGGTGGATGAAGTTACAAAGCTGCAGGCACTATTTATCAGTTGCCAGTAATCCCTGGGTTCTTTCACAGGATCCATCGTCTCGATGTCCCCCTTGTGATCACATTCAAAGAATTAGTTCTCTTTGCCAAATTGTCATAAATTCTCAGAATGACAGCCACAACATCGCAGAATAGTTTACAGCGCTGACGGAAAAAAAACTAACTGTCTGATAACTTAGAGAGCTGGGAACTTTCTAAGTCTGGCGTCTACGAATCTAACACCGAACAACAAGCTGAAATCAATAAAACCATCTCAAATTCATCACTAGAATTGTTTCTCCAAAGTTCTTGTCTAAAAGGCTACGAACCACTAAAATAAACATCTGCCAGTAATAGCTCCTGTATTCAAAAGTCGACTTAAAGTTGAAAAAAATTAGTCATTAGTAATGCATGTCTTTATATATATCCATGAAAAATAAACTTTTGAAGAATTAAGGAGCTAAGATCTTATGAAATATTCATATCCTGACACAACAAGTAAATTGCCTTATTTTCTATAAGATTTTGCAAATCTAAGACATAAAGTATCACTCTAAATTGGAAATTATGTAAACACTGTGATAGAATGAAATAAAAGCTCATTTCAAAGTCACATAGGGTCTTGTTATTGCTATCAGTGAATTCCGCTACGACTTTTTCCCCTGTTTTCCATACATATTAACTTGTAACGCTAACTCCCTGCAGTCCTTCATGTAGTTTCTGATGTAGAAGAATATCATCCACTTATGCCTCTTAAGTCTCAATCACAAGAAAAGATGATCTACAAATATGAATACGCTGCTGAATAAAAATGTATCTTTGGCCATGAGATGAATTCATCAATATTACAAGCATCTTGAGAAATAAGATAGGGAAATTAGCCTTGAGAACAAATTACACTCGTGCAAATTGTGTATTAGAATTTTTCAGTGGAGTTTTTGAATGGTGCCCCATCCTTATGGTGGTCATGAGAGGGACATTCAACATAGATAGTAACTGACGAGGTACTTGGTAGAGGTGGACATCACATATTTCCAATCTTCGATTATCTTCAGGTTGACAGCTCTACCTTTTATTAATTAGTTTATTAGTTAACTATTAATTAGTTAATTTATCTACCAAATGTCATAGTTTGATAGAAACTCACTGATCCAGGGCTCTCCTTAAGTACTAATATCTTCCATTTAGTTGATATAAATATATACTGAACTTTGTCCGAGTTATCTACCAGGCCCAATCCCCATGAATCAGTTTATAATCCTTTTCCTAGAGTCCCCCTCCTTCTTTAACATCAACTTCTCATTTCATTGGTAATATTCTGCGGAACTATCAATTTTCAACTTCTCAGTCTCATTACGGCTTTTGACAGAGGGAAGCAGGTGAGACTCTCCTGTAGCTGGCACTAAGGGTTTCTGAGATTGCTGGGAGGCGTTAGGAGGCGCTCACATTGCATCCTGTTCTTTGGCCATTCCAGACAGGAATATCTTTATGTGGTGGCCCTCTTCCATGACGATTACACAGTAACCTGTGTAGTGATATGGGGTGAAGAGGCGCACTATGACCTGAGTAGGAATACGGTGGCACAGACATGCCAACAAAGGCAGACGCTGTAGTCACCCTGATTCCTACAACAACAGATACTTACTTAGCTTTCAACTAAAATAGCAGTCTGCCCCTGTGTTAAGATTGGTAGCACAGGTGGGAGGAGGTTGGTATACGGCAATGTATATCCAAGCATAGGTGCAGTGTGGTCTTGTAATGGCGTCAATGGTTGTATAGATACAGATTCTGATCCTCCGCCAACAACAAAATATTAAAACCAACAGAGCAAAGGTCATTTTGAGAATGTTTGTGAGGACCATTTGTACGCTTTCTTAAGACATCTAAATATATATCTACCAGACTACTTATACTACCATTGCCACCATCACTGGTCAACAACCAATCACCATGCAGTATACACGCCCTGCTGAAAGTCATTAGGATATTTAATAAATCTGTAAGGTCAAAACATTTTTTTAACTGATAAAAGTACATAAATCATGTATGAGCTATCAAGCCCAGCATGGCATACCAGCAGGGAGTATCTCCAACCAATAGATCACGGTACAGATCCAGTACAGCCTAAATGGGGCTTGATACCATCCCTCATCCATTTCCATCTTATCTTCTTGAGTACTTGATTGTGGAGTGTTTCTATGGCAATGTAATGCAGCTCCATGAGAGACAAGATGTTATTTGGGTGAGGTAACATGATCAAGCTCTCTCTGAAGCACACGTTTTATTGGTCTTGGACATGCCATGGAATCAGTCAGAGTCATTACCAACTGACCCCGGTCATCAGGACACCATAATAATGCCACCGCTTGGATCTCTGGTACCAATAGAGTTGTCTTTAAGTAATGCCTGGATACATCGCTGATATCGCTGTGGACCAGCATGTCCACATTTCCTCTTACTGATGCTTTTTTGTTTAGTGATAATCACTGTTGTAAGGAAAGGGTAAATCAAACAGGAAGAGACATGTTTGCATGTTTGTGATTTTCAGAATATTCCCCACTTCTGCTCACCTTGTCCTGTAGGAACCATGGGGAGCTGGTTGGGTAGTGGCGTCTGACATGTTACTCCAGTGTTCTTCCCAGAGTTCATTGTCTTGTTGGCGATCGTGATAATCGGAACAAAACGCATGTCATGGCTGAAGGCACACTCGTACTGACCAGGAAAGTCGGGGAGGTTTTCAATGTGCAACTGCAGCTGTAAAGAAAACAATAGACAGAGTGAGTGAGTTAGTGAGTAGAATCTGGACTTGATTAGGTAAATTTCAAACAACAAGTGTTTGCCACTATTAAGGCAATGTCCCCCGCCACTAATGAAGAATGAAATATTTATAACATGTTTACTACTTTATATTTTTTGGTCACATGCAAGATGCCTGAAATGACTGGTGTCTGCATAGTCACCCAATGTAGGCTGTCAACATACTTGAACACATTGGGTGCAATGTTTTATGAGATATCGTGGTTACATAAGTTTGAAAAGTGGTCAAAGTGTCGTGGTGACCTTGAAGATAAGGTCAAGGTAACCCAAATCGACTAGTGTCTGGGTAATCCCCCAATGTAGGCTGTCACCAAATTTGAAGACATTGGGTACTACAGTTCATGAGATATCGTGTTAACAAGAATCGGGACGGACGTACGTACGGACGCTGCTGAATACAAAGTCCCCCGAACAATAAGCTTTCAGTCACAAAACTATTTCACTCTTCTTGCCCAAGATATACATCCTTCACAACATGAACAGATTCAACATTTCTCTCAGAACTTGGCTATTTTCATAAAATAATCAAAATCTACATTTGAATCCCAACCCTTGCAAAGCACATACAGATTCACAACACACCACAGTAAGGTGCAGATGTTTGAAGCAATTATCTGCGCATACAAATGACAAGAATTGAAAGTCATTATACAGGCTAATTTTTGATTGTCTAAATCAAATGAATAAAATGTCACTGGCATGGTCTCCAACAACCATAATCACATGCCAAACAGTGAGTTATTTTCCAAATAATCTGTATACAATGAAATATTAATCTGAAATCTCAAAACAAAAGACTTAATTGCCAAATTGTCTCCACTTATTCATAAAATGCCACTGGGCACATATTACAGTTAATAGCAATTATTTCTCATTATGTCAATTGTCAAATCAAAGTCTGAATTATTTTTAGAGATAAATTCCTGATATTCATTGTTTGTTAAAGCTGTCCAACATGCCATTATTGAATGAAAGAGGTTTTCATCTGATAAACTTCATAATCATGTCTCCAGTCTTTCAATGAGTAATACAGGGCCATGTAACGGCCATTTGTTGTCCGACCTGAGTGACTGTGTTGTAGTGCAATATGGGGACACAGTGCTTGTACCTGTGGCAGCAAGCCGGCATTGTGACAAGGAACAACTACATCACACAAGTCTCCAGAAACACCACTGTGGCAATACATCTCACACAATCTCTCCAGTTCACTAGATACACACACGTCCAGTATGTTCTTGCTTCCAGACTTGCAGATAGGGATTTATAAAATGGTCCTTTTTTACACTGAGAGAATTTGAACAACCATTCCTGAACTAAAATTCCTCTGTAATTGTTTTGGAATTGTTCAGACAACCTATGACAGGAACTCAAAGAAAAAGCACACAGGGTTTTTTGTTTTAAATGCAAATATGTTTATTCAATTTCCCTTTATAATTACATCTGACACTTGCCACAAAAACAGAAAATAAACTATCACAAAAAGGGCTTATATGTAAAGCCTTTTTTTCAGCCTATGTACATGAAGGCAAGCAAAGATAATGGCTTGGGCAAGTGTACTGTCTAGAAACTAATTTCATGAAGTATACCCTTGTGAATGTCAAATTAGCACAATGGAGGTAGTCAGATTGCTCCTGATAGATTTGTTCTGGGTTTTATTCCCTATTGAAAACTAGGTGTGAAGGTAATTCTCAGCATCGGTAGCCATGATTGGTCCCACCCTGATGCTTTGTGCCGATATACCTACAAAGGCGTCAAACACTGGAAATTTGGTGAGGGGGTGAGTTTTGTTTATTATAGTTATACCACACATCGGTCTCATAAGGGAGGAGGAGAGTCCAATGCAGATTGTAGATATTCACTACTCAGTATCAGAATCGTAATGACAAACTTATAACCATGATCAGGTCAAATCTGGGATTTGAACCAGTGGATCAGCAGTCAAGGGACACAACTCTGCACATTAGAGGAATATAAGTTGGCGGATGTCTAACCTGTGTTGAAGATGAACCAATCAAATGTTCAGATGTGTGTATCTATACATACATATATACATTAGCATGTATACACATGCTCTGTATGTGTCAATGTGTGTGAGCAAGTGCATGTGTATATGAATATATACACATATATACATAAGCACATTCACATGTACTTTGAGTACACTTCTGGATGTAGATAAGATATGTCATAAACATGTATCACTTGTTATGTTGGGGGCAATATTGATGTCTAGATACTTACTGTGTGTGTCTTGGAGGAGTGGTCTTTCTGTATTTTGTCTGGGACGACACGAGTAATGTTGGTGCACTGCTGTCCACTGTAGGGCAACCATCGCATCGTCATCTCATAGGCCTTGCACTCATCCTGGCGGCTGCACCTGTAACGGAAAACACACCACTGTACAACACCATCGACTAGATACAATAACAAGCATCAACATCATCAACAATGTGACATCATCATAACCAGCACCATTGAGACATCATCAACAACATTGGTGACATCAACACTGTCATTGTGACATCATCGTCACCAGCATGACTACTGTGATATTATGAACGTGACATTATCAACAACTTGCCTATTACATCATCAACAACACTATTACATCATCATCAACAACATAATCTTGACACCATCGTTAACAACATCATCAACATCATTGTGACACCAAAAACACTGTGACACCACCATCAACATCTTTATGAAACCATCAACAACACTGTGACACCACCATAAACATCTTTATGACATCAGCAAAACTGTGACACCACCATCAACATCTTTGTGACATCAACAATACTGTGACACCATCATCAACATCTTTATGACATCAACAATACTGTGATACCATCATCAACAACACTGTGACACCACCATCAACATCATTGTGACACCACCATCAACATCTTTATGACATCAACAACACTGTGACACCACCATCAACAACACTGTGACACCACCATCAACATCATTACACCATCAACAACACTTGACACCACATCAACAACACTGTGACACCACCATCAACATCATTGTGACATCAACAATACTGTGACACCATCAACAACAACACTGTGACACCACCATCAACATCATTATGACATCAACAACACTGTGACACCACCATCAACAACACTGTGACACCACTATCAACATCATTGTGACATCAAAAATACTGTGACACCAACATCAACAACTCTGTGACACCAACATCAACATCATTATGACATCAACAATACTGTGACACCACCATCAACATCTTTATGACATCAACAATACTGTGACACCACCATCAACAACACTGTGACACCAACAACAACATCATTGTGACATCAACAACACTGTGACACCACCATCAACAACACTGTGACACCACCATCAACATCATTGTGACATCAACAATACTGTGACACCACCATCAACATCTTTATGACATCAACAATACTGTGACACCACCATCAACAACACTGTGACACCACAACAACATCATTGTGACATCAACAACACTGTGACACCACCATCAACAACACTGTGACACCACCATCAACATCTTTATGACATCAACAATACTGTGACACCATCATCAACAACACTGTGACACCACCATCAACATCATTGTGACATCAACAACACTGTGACACCATCATCAACATCTTTATGACATCAACAATACTGTGACACCATCATCAACAACACTGTGACACCACCATCAACATCATTGTGACATCAACAATACTGTGACACCATCATCAACATCTTTATGACATCAACAATACTGTGACACCATCATCAACATCTTTATGACATCAACAACACATTGACACCATCATCAACATCTTTATGACATCAACAATACTGTGACACCACCATCAACATCATTGTGACATCAACAATACTGTGACACCATCATCAACATCTTTATGACATCAACAATACTGTGACACCATCATCAACAACACTGTGACACCACCATCAACAACACTGTGACACCACCATCAACATCATTGTGACATCAACAATACTGTGACACCATCATCAACAACACTGTGACACCACCATCAACATCACTGTGACACCACCCATCAACAACACTGTGACACCACCATCAACATCTTTATGACATCAACAATACTGTGACACCACCATCAACATCTTTATGACATCAACAATACTGTGACACCACCATCAACATCATTGTGACATCAACAATACTGTGACACCACCATCAACATCTTTATGACATCAACAATACTGTGACACCACCATCAACAACACTGTGACACCACCATCAACATCATTGTGACATCAACAATACTGTGACACCACCATCAACAACTCTGTGACACCACCATCAACATCATTGTGACATCAACAACACTGTGACACCACCATCAACATCTTTATGACATCAACAACACTGTGATACCACCATCAACAACTCTGTGACACCAACATCATCAACAACACTGTGACACCATCATCAATAACAGTGACATCAACAACTTCATTTCATGATCACTGGTGTGACTATCATCATCATCATCATCATCATCATCATCATCATCATCACATCATTAGTAAAATATTTCCTGATAACAAATCTCATGCTAAGTTGACTTTTCAATCATCAAAGTCATCAGATTGTTGCCACAGTCATCAAAAGCATCTGCACAACTGCACCTCCAAATTAATCCACTCAGATGCCAATATTAAAATTGCCACTATATTCTTACAACACTCCTTACCAAAAATACTACCGACTTTCACCACAGTGGCAAATAGTGCGGAAACATCAACATCATCACACACCTCTTCATCATCAACATCATCAAAGCTGCGATATTTACAAACCTACTTAACCACTGCCCTCATCCTCCAAGGTTAAGTATGAACCAATTATTCAACACTGTGGTAATGTTCTGATTTGGGAGGAAAGCCCTGTGTTCAGTGACTTCTATATCCACCCCATGAAGCATGACGAGAACCTTAGATGTATATTGACGATAAATGGCCATTAATGTATGGATTATTCCATCAACAGTCTCCGTTTACAAGGTAAACATCACAAATAATTGTCTCTGATGTGACTTTGTGCTGGATACCAAGCCTTTATTTGTTTTCCTTAATCACCATAATGTGTTCTTCTAACATATTTTCTGATTGACTGGATTTCTGATTTTTTAAATATTTATTCCCGTTACTTTCTTTTCATGCATTGAAAAGGTTTACCTAGCTGGTCCATAAATTGATGGCTTCAGATCAATTTAGAACCTAATTCATCATGGAAAGCATACTCACATTATTTTAACATGAAGACTTTTGTAATATCAAACACAAAAAGAACCATGTATTTCAATAAAACTAGCCCACATTCTACTGAGGAATTGTCAATACATATATACATGTTCGCCGTACGTACAATATGGAAAGTTGCATATCTCAAAGACAAAAAGGACCATTGAATTGAACTGACCATGACAAAATATGGTGCAGATCGTCTCCTTCTACAAATATGAGTGAAAACAAGAGACATATATCCATGATGCTGGTCCAACGCCTACATTGGTAAAAAAGGTCTTCCTCCAACGGTAGAGGGTTTGCCTTGATTAGCAGGAACCTGCCTGGGTGAAGCAGTTCATCTGAACATGTCCATTGATTGCTGCCCAGGTGCTTCATTAAGCCCGTAACATCATATTTGCAGACTTTCTATCAGAAAATAAAGACAGATAAAATGGAATGAGTGCAGGATTTAATCAGCCTTTTTATTCGATTGGTGCAGTCAGCTAGGTGGAAATCACTGCATGGCAATCGATAGAAGTGTACGCTAAGTGGATAATTGTCCCTAAGAAATAGTTAGATTTTTTTTATTAAAGGAAAGATTTCGTATGACAAAGTCCGGTCTGTATGTTTTAAGTGCACGACAGGGGCACATCCTAGGACTGCTGAAAAAAATGGAACGATCGTCTGAAGGAATTCCTTTATGGAAAATCCATCACTAAGTCTGACAGGCACATGGGAATAATAGATTAGATCATGTATAAATATGATGAGCTTCTTTCATTTCTGTATGAACGATTTTGATGAAGTATAATAATTATTCAATCACATGTGATTAAAAATAACTGAATGTCTTTCTGATTCTACTTTGATGTACTGCTTCCATTTTTTGTCCACATACATATGTCTGAGAGTTGAGGATTGACAAAAAAATGGATTTGATGGAAGAATTCATTTGAGAGGCAAATCATTATTGATTGACAGAGGTTTTAATTTCAAGTCATATTTATGGTAAGTCATCCCTATGATTCCATCTGCCACGCCTCATTTCACCGTCCAAACTAGTGAGGAAAATAATGATATGTCAAAAGCGCAGAAAGAACATAAAATTCTGAATCAATAAAGAAAATTGATCCGAAAAAGTAGTCTGAGCAATATGAAATTTTCTGTTCGTGTTGTATACATAAACCAGATTTATGCCTATAGATTTGACACATTAAACCATCACGTTTCATCCTCCATCAAAATATCAGTGATTTGTTGCTGAACTTGAAGGGGTTAAAGTTTCTATCATCTATCCTTCTTCTACGAGAAAACAGTGCGTGATTAGTGGCTTCTTCAACAAAAGGTTAAGTCGGCCGCCGACTGCAGTCTCCCTCGTTTCACCATTGCTTAGTGACTTCGATGCTTGGAGTATCCCATGCAGTCTCCCTTGCTGGTAATGTAGAACACATTTGCAACCGAGGGATTGCTACTATGGGGCTTTGTGAAAAGTTAATGACCCTAATATTTATCCTCCAGGATGATGAAGACTTCTTCCAACTGTCCCCCCATGCAAAGATCATATATCGTCACTGCAGTTGATACACAAACGTTACTTGTGAGGATCTCTTACAATCAATAAGGCAAACAGGGTAAAAACGCCTCTCTGCTGTGTTTTACCCATAATGCTCCTCTACAAGTCCACGATGTTCAACAGATCCTGTTCACCAGTTAGATTTAATGGCATTTTGGCTTCAAATACTTCATCGCAACCCTGTCATAAATTCTACATTGATGTCAAAATGATTCACCATTGTCAAGAACTGTAGATTTACGTTGGACCTATGCAACAGTTATGCTTTTCAATCAATGAAGAGCCATTAGTGAAGTTTTTTCAGACTGGCACCCGCCACGTTGGGAGGGCTGCCAGGAGATAGTTTCAGACATCAATACACCTCAAGCTGAACAGACTTTTCATGAATTAACGATGGACTTCTCAAGAAAATCTCCCCTCTTCACAAACACCTGCACCTTGGGATTTCAACAATAGCACACTTACTTCCTTGGTGAAAAATCAGCACTGAAAATGTCAACAGTCACTTTTTTGGTCCACCG